TCGAGTGTCTTCCTGAACTAATGGCTGCCTGCGAAGGAAAAGAGAATGTTTTTGCTTCCATTGTGGACAGTGAGTTGCAATCAGCACACGTTTCACAGGTAATAGTTGCTACGCGTGGTCATTATCAACGCGATTGGAAAGGGAGAGTCGTTGGGAAAAGAAATACTCTCCTCACTTCCCTTCAGCAAATGCCATGTTCTGGATAAAGTGCAACACATTTGTTGCTCTCATTTCAAGGTGCTGCTAGCTTCACAAAGGCTCTTCTCTGCCTCTTTTCTTAGTATTTTTTTCTCTTATTCCCTGGTAACCAGTAACAGAGTCTGGTTTATGGCTGATATTACCACATCTCTTTGCTCTAAAGATGCTTCTCTAGGTCATTCAGTCTGCTGAGTGTTACCCACCTTTCCATAGCCAGCTACGCACTACGAACTCGCGCACTGCAAATGTCGTCGTAGCTGGCTTCTGGAGTGGGCTGTCAAACACCATTTTTTCTGGGAATACCCTTGGTAAAAGATCCATCTCTCATTTTCTATTTGAAACAGAAAAAGCAGATGAAAATTTCACACTTCACAGGGAAAAGAAAAGAATACTATTCCAAAATGTTGAGGCTGCTAGAGTCTTATTTGCAGTTTGATTTTCAAGCCCTTCCCAGCAAAGGACAGCTATATTCCATAGCGTTCATCGCATGCTAAGCCTATTGATTTCAAATAAATGTACGAAAGATGAAATCTTCAAAAGCTATACTTCAGATGGTTTTTACTTGAATATTGAAAAGGACAGCAATATGTCCTGTGTTTGACTGTTCAGCTTCAGTTAAACCTTTTACTGGTATGCAAACAAGAAGAAAAGTACTTAAATGTCTGTAACAGGCATCTGCATTTGTAACTAAATTAACATCAAAATTCTGAATTAAGAAAATGTATCGACATCAAAACAAGGCTTCCTTTAACAACAGATTTCTAACATAATACACATTGATTTCAGTCCAACTTTTAGATGTGATGAAAAATTAGAACATTGTTATAATTAGTTCAGGGAGAACTCAGAAGTAAACTTACTTAATTTATTTGCATAAATTGCCATTCTGTTATCTTTAAAAGCAAATGCAAATTGGCTCTGTCTGATATGATGATGGTTATTTGGCTCAAAAGTGCTTCAATTTGCGTAGCAATCTGGTGTCGTCTCTGCAGTGAGGCGATCCCAGGTAACATACAAATCCTGAATTATTCCAGAAATTAGTATGTTTAAAGCATCAATTTAAGTGCTAATTGCAGTAGTAATGAGAAAAAGCAGTACTACTGTGAGATTTGCATCTACTGCCCCATCAGTATGCCTGGAACGGCTGCTGACTGGCAGAGGATTTGGCTGCTAATTAAATAATTGTATGCATGGCAGTGTTCTCGTCTGATTCAATAGATGAAGATTAATCCTCAGATAAATATGTTTGGCTGGTATTGAAATGTCTTAGCAGTTTCTTCAAAAATAGCTTGTGTGTATGTGGTGTGTGTACGTTCACGCTGTGAATGACTCTGTGCCTCTATATATCTGTTTGTAAATACAGAGGCATATAAGAGGGAAAAACATAATGTCTTTGCATCATACAAGGAGAAAGTTTCGTTTCCGTGAGTTGGGAATGGCCATATTGGGTATAGCGAAGCCATGACTGTATTATGCAGGCCATTGCAAATGTGAAACCTTTATAGCGATATTTTATATTCTTTATGGCAGGTTTTTTTTCCGGAAAAAAAAAAAAAAAAAAAAAAAAAAAAAAAAAAAAAGAAAAAACTATTGTAATACCTTGCACAGAATTAAAATTCAAACTGAGACTGCCTGTTGAGTGTCTTCATACGTAAAGTCTTTCGATGCACGCTTAGACAGGGGCCAACCAAGAGAAAAATTCTTCAATAAAGAATGCATCTTTATGAAATATTTTCTATAAAGAAAGAATGTAAGATTACAGAGCTTAAGCCTAGCATTCTGGCACCAGACCTGAACAAAGTCAGATAAAGTGATAAGTACGCCACTAAATTGCCAAAACCATTCTTTTCCTAAACAAACCTTTTGCGTCTCACTCACAGTATATTGAACCTCTATCTTAAACCTGTTACTAGCGTGAAGCTGGTAAAAACAGCTTGAGCTTTACATAAATTTGAGGCAGACTGGAAAAGGAAGAAATTTCACATTTGGAAAGAAGAAAATGCCTTTTAAGCAGATTGGTAATTAATTTTTAAATAGCAGCTCTTGAAGCTGCTCATGGATTTGGAATATTAGGCTAAGTCCTGGGGAGACAGATTATTGGCAAAAATGCTAATGATGTTATCAAAGGTTCCTGAAGAATTTCTCATGTGATTATGATTTGAATCTATGGATTTGGTAGGTAAATATATATATAGTATATATGTATATGCAAACGTTGGGCATGTTGGTATATTTAAAAGGACATAATATGTCTTTGTGTCATCCTATACAGCAAAAAATCAGTAAAATAGTCAAGAAATACCTAAGTGATGTAGGAGCCTGAGTTTGATTTTTCCAAAAGTTAGTTATAACCCTAAACCTCACTGGAAGTCAGCGGGGCTTAGAAAGCTGACAGCCTAAATTCAAAAACTCTTTTGACTGTAACTCTGATCTTTGGCCTAAGCGCCATGTTTCTTTCAGTGATTCATTCTGAATTGTATTTCTTTAACAGTCTTTTTCAGTTTCTAAGTCATTTAGGCATTAGGCACCTTTTAAAATGCTAAGATGATATTTATATTATTGAAAGAGAAAAAAAAAAAAACCTCAAGACTGAAAAAAACCACTATCCCTGCTGCAGTATTAGCTGCTTTTACTCTGGAAGTATCTGTGTTCCTGTAATCTCCTTTTTCATTTTCAGCTGCTACTACTTGATTTTTTTTTTCCTCAGCAAGAAAAGAATTTCTTCATTTTCTCCACGTTGCAAAGATGATAAAAAGGCAGCCTGCTGTCCATACCGTATCAGTGATTGAGCAGTACTAAGTTTGCCTTTAATTTTCACATACACAAGGCCGGGAGAATGACGTATTACAGCTACTTCCTTGTCTAATTAGAAAGTTGCTCAGAGTTATTTGGTTTGTGTGCACTGTAAAAGCTACACGAGGACACGACAGCCTTTGACAAGTAGAATATGTTGGGGCTGTACGGTACAAACCAGACCAAATCACAGTCTTCAACAGAGCGACAGGTGACACCTCTAAAGGAGTTAATACATTATGATCTCTGCTGAAATTAAACTTTGTTCTAACATAATTGTGACAGGTCTTGTCCTCTGAGATGGTACACGGTTTCCAGGTAAATGATATCTAAAGTGTAGCCAAAGGGCCGATCACGGGGTTGGTGTGTTAGGGTGCCTGTACCGAACGCAGCAGGAGTACGCTGCTTTGGTGCACGGAAGGTCTGATGCGGCAGGTCTGTACAGTTCCTACAGCAAGCTTCATCTTAAAAACCTTTGCAATAAACTTACAATCGTTTGCCAGCTAAGGTGTTACTACTCGGGCTATCTCATCCAGAGTGATCTGCTGGATGTGATTTTAGTAGTGTCTTGTGTGCTAAATGTAGCAAAACCCCAGCAACAGTTAATTAATTCAGAATGCCTGTGGTGGTTTTTCTCCTTCTTCGAGGTGCTGCCTTTTTTCCCCCTTTCCCCTTTCAGGGACAAAGAGGGATGTCTTTTCCCTTAACGTCCTAGCTCTTTATTTTCTGTTACAGTTTTCCTACCCTTCCTTAGCTGAGGCACTATATTAAGAACATCAGCGCAATTCATCGGGCTCCCCTGCTTTTACACTGCGGTTCCTGAGCGCTCACAGCTGGCCCTCCCCACCTCCTCCATTGAACAGACACAGCTGTTCGTGCAGCACACAGAAGAGGGAAGAGAGAGAGAGATTAGTTTTTAGCCTAAATCGGTTTTCTCATTTCGTTCAGCCAGGCTCTGGTAATGCAGCCATTTTAATCCGACCTAAGTCTGCGCTGCAGCCGAAATGGGCAGTCCTGCCCTCCCCGTGCCATTTTCACCTCTCCTGACCCAGCTCACTGCACAGCTGCACAAACGCTGCGGCTGGATCGGGCCAGGAGGTGGGAGCGAGCATCTGGGGATGAGGGGAGGAGGGATCACATCAACCCTCTCGCTGACACTCAAAATGGCCTGTAGCCAAGTGGCCGCATGAATGCTTGTGCCGGCGGGGGAGGAGGCTGGACCACTTCTTTTGGTGGCACTGAAGGCTCATGCTTATTCAGGGTACTCACAGGATTAGAGAATATGCTTCCACAATCAGCTTTAAGCTGCTGTAAGTTCATGCTGTCACCAAAATGATTAGCGAGCTGATCCATCTAGCTGCACAATCGCAGCACGGTCCGGCCAACATACTGGGGATGGAGGGGGACAGCTAGCTGGGGCGGGGGGGGATGCTGGAGAGAGGGACGGCACCACCTTTCCCTGTGACAGTGCGATCTTAGGTCTGCTTACCCTGGCTGCTGTCTCCCTAATTCTGTATTAACATGTACCATTACTGTCAGTATGAATCATGGCAATTATGTCTCCAAAAAGCAAACCGAGCTTTCATTAGGGCTCTACGTCTTCTAGCACAGAAAAAGTAATCAGAGACACATCAAGCACAATCTAAACGAGAATAGATTGTGTTGAAACAGAAGATGGTCAAACCAATATGTGAAAAATAAAATATATTTTAGTCTTTTTCCGGATAAAACATTTATGTTCCGTGGCAGTATTGCCCATGCGACTATGCCTACGCTCTTCATTCCCACAACTTCCCATTTTGACATCTGCTGGCTCTTTACCAAGATCAATATTCTTCTTTCCTTCATCTCCTTCCCGCCCTCTGGCTTTTCATATGTGTTGTTTGAAAACATGGGTGAGGTGCTGATTCCCGTTTAGTTTTGGGAGTGGAGGGGAAGGAGGGCAGGGCAGAGGGTGGTTCTTGGTCTGTTGGTTCTTTTCTTCCAGTGCCAGCCTCATCTGTCTTTTTCAGCCACAGTGAGGCCACAAATCACTGCCTCCATTCCACAGCCCATTTTTCCATTTCATCTTCCTCACAAATTTAATTGAGTGAACATGCTCATTTTCTTCTTACTAAATGAAAGCCTGCATTGCTCCCCTCCGTTTTTGTCACAGCTCCTCAGAGCTGCTTTTCATCGTTTGATAGAGACCAAAATGAGGGATACGTAGGGCTGCATTTTCGGGATGCCTCTTTAAGGTTGGAGGGAGCGTCATGCTCAGCTACACAAATGGTGTGCCTCCAACAACAGTTCTGTGTGCAAGGATGAAAGTTGAGGGCCTGCTGCAGTTCACGAGAAACCACAGAGACTTAAGATTCCTCACGAGGACTGTAAGAAGGAGGGTTCATGAAGATTGATGCAAGAAAACCTTAAAAAAAACCTAGGGATAACTTTGCATATGCAGTTGAACTTTTGGTTAATTATCTGAACTGATCCTCTGAACTCTCTGAGGTTTGCCCATTGCTAATTAGCACTGCAGTGACTTGTTCTTTATGGATTATGCTAAGGAAGTTTAATTTAAAACTTAATTATACTAGTTTTTAAGTGGCTTATAGGAAAAAAATACTTTAATCGGGAGTGGTAAGGAATTTTTCCTGTGTTCAGACATCAGTAATCTTAGTGAGGCATGTGTAACGTGCTTGAGGAGTTTCACGTTTGTTTTATTTGCTTAGAAGAAAGCAGAGTAGGAGGTTAATGAAAAGTATTTTATGCTTATGATTGAGAATTGTACAGTTATATATGATATTCTAATACATAATAAAATATTATTAATATAGAATAAATATGTAGACTGTGCATTGAATTGTTACTGTTACAGTGACAGTGATTGCACAGATTGTCTTTTAATCCACAGGGATCTGTTTTTTCCACAGGCCTGGAATTTCTTGTGCCGTTTGCCAATTCTGAACGTCAGCCTGAGCATTAAGGGCTGTTGGGATGACCCAGTTCAGCCGCAGAACGAAGTGCCTGTTCCTCTTTTGACAACGGACACGCGAGATGACAAAAGATGGATCAGATTACATGCTGATCAAGAGTATGTGCTCCAAATAAATCTGCAGAGAACCCAGATGGGGTATCAGGTAGATTAATTTATCATTTCCTTCCCAAGTGCACAAGTTTCCAATAATCCATGTACAGTATCAATAATGCTTTATACAGCATAACAGGTTTTTTTAATGGTTCGAGTATGCTTTCAAGGCCTTTTCTGGCAAATGGTTTTTCAGGTTGCAATAGGAAGTAGACTCTTAAGGTGAAATCCTAGACCAATGCAAGTCAAGGAAAAAATTCTCTCATTTTTTACAAAGCAGAAACTCATAAAGTTCACTTGTGTGGGTACTATAAGCAGTGACAGTAGAGAATGATAATTTCACAGGCAGTATTTAAGTACTTGCCAGTCCCAAACTCCTACCACTTGTACTCTTGCAAATCCTCCTTCCCCAAAGCAGTTTATATGATAAGCTTCCCATGTACCTCCATTCTGCATACCAGACCCATACCTACAAATACGTTTCTACTCGTAACACGTCCTCAGGCCGTGACTGAGGATACTTTCCGCATATTTTACATGCAAAGCTTTTTTTGAACAGCTCCTAAAACAACATCTACAAACAATTCTTTCCCACACCTAAATGCCAGTCCCGCCCCTTCACCCAGTTAAAGCACATCCCTTTCCGCTTGGGCTGGTCACCTCACTGGGCCCTCAGCAAGTCTCCGTGTGCCAAGGCAGAAACACGGGCAGCTGTGCGGGTCTCCAGCTGCCCTGCCCGTAGCAGCAGCAACACACTGTACCTGTCTGTGGGCTTTTGGAAGGGTGAGGACCGTGCCTCCTGCATTCAAACCAGGCACTGCTGTCACCGCAGCTATCACTTAATGATAATTACCAACATTTTTGTTAAGATGCAAAGAAGAGTTTTAAATGTTAGTTCTGAGACTCTTAAGACAACTCCATTTTGATAAAAATAATAATGGAAATGGTATGTTCTGTTGTAAACCCTGAAGTTAACTTAGTTAAACAATTATATTTGAAAAGTATACTTTCCCAAAGGACTTCTTGTCCTGACTACAGCAGGTGCACCATAGCCTCAAGGGGAGACTGTCTCATTCGTAGGAAGGAAAAAAGGGTCAGAGCTCCTCCGTGAGTGGTTCTATTTGCTCTGCCAGTTACTGACAGAGACTTTTCCTAACCAGAAGCCACAGGAAAGAAAGGAGCAGGAGCGTTTCATGCAGTGATCACTGTTTTATAAACCTCTCCTAGAATTTGATCCCTCTTTTGTAAGAAAAAACTGGATCAAACTGTTTCTGAAGCTTCATTGCTACAGTGGTGCTTTTTCTTTTGTGTAAATCTTCAGTAAAACCTTTCCGTCTACAGAACACGAAATGAATGCTGATTGAGTGCGCATCATTGTATCTTCAGCTGTCAGCAGTAAAGTCACTGTCTTAAAGAATCACTGAAATAATCTTTCCTTTTGCTATATCAACCTCAAATAAAGACTTCAAGGGCTGTTTTTGTCTTTATATTAATCTTGAACAATATTGTTTAGCTTTATTTAAAGACACTAGATTTACAATTAACCCTTCTGCAGAGAACAGCATTTGGAACATATTAGATGAAATTACAAAAAGGGAACAGTATTTTCCTCCTGGAAGCTATGCTAGGGCACATGGAAAATAAGGAGGTGATTGGTGACAGCCAACACGGCTTCACTAAGGGCAAATCGTGCCTGACGAATTTTGGTGGCCTTCTATGACACAGTTACAGCCTTGGTGGATAAGGGAAGAGCAACTGATGTCATCCACCTGGACTCGTGCAAAGCATTTGACACCATCCTGCACAACATCCTTGTCTCTAAACTGGAGAGACATGGATTTATTTGATGGATGGACCACGCAGTGGATCAGGAATTTTCTGGATGGTCACGCTCGAAGAGTCAACAGCTCAATGTCCAAGTGGAGACCAGTGACGAGTGGCCTTCCTCAAGGATCAGTACTGGGACCAGTGCTGTTTCACATCTTTGTCAGCGACGCGGGCAGTGGGATTGAGTGCACCCTCAGCAAGTTCGCTGATGACACCAAGCTGTGTGATACGGTCAACACGCTGGAGGGAAGGGAGGCCATCCAGCATCCAGAGGGACCTTGACAGGCTGGAGAGGTTGGGCCTATGCAATCCTCATGACGTTCAACAAGGCCAAGTGCAATGTCCTGCACCTGGGTCAGGACGATCCCAAGCACAAATACAGGCTGGGAGATGAGTGGATGAAGAACAGCCCTGTGGGGAAGGACTTGGGAAGAAGCTCAACATGATCTAGCAATGTGCGCCCGCAGCCAACCATATCGTGTGCTGCAGGAAAAGAAGCGTGGCCGGCAGGCTGATGGAGGTGATTTTCCTCCTTTATTCTGCTCTGGTGAGACCCCGCCTAGAGTACCGCATTCAGCTCTGGGGTTCTCAGCACAAGTAAAACATGGACCTGCTCAGCCATGTCCAGAGGAGGGCCACGAAGATGATCAAGGTGCTGGAGCACCTTCCCTATGAGGACAGGCTGAGATTGGGGTTGTTCAGCCTGGAGAAGAGAAGGCTCCGGGGAGACCTTATAGCAGCCTTCCAGTGCTTAAAGGGGGCTACAGGAAAGGTGGGGAGGGACTCTTCACCAGGGAGTATAGTGATGGGAAGAGGGGTGACAGTTTCAAAACGAAAGAGGGGAGATTTAGATTAGATGCGAGGAAGAATTTCTTCACTGTGAGGGTGGTGAGACATTGGAACAGGTTGCCCAGAGAAGCTGTGGCTGCCCCCTCCCTGGCAGTGTTCAAGGCCAGGTTGGATGGGGCTTGGAGCAACCTGGTCTAGTGGAAGGTGTCCCTGCCCAGGGCAGGGGGGTTGGAACTAGGTGGTCTTTAAGGACTGTTCCCACCCAAAACATTCTATGATGCTATCAATTCCATTCGAGCTTTAATAGCTTACAAAATAAGTGCTGTAGTGTCTCATATTCTAGGTTTTTCTTGTGGACTATGATTTTTTTAGGAAAAAAAAAATCATCATGAAAGAAACAGCAGTATTTTAGTCTGGCTAAATTATAGTCTTATGTAACAATTCATGACAATGTGATTTTTGAGGTGTTTTTCATTCAAGGAAGAATGGCATTTCAGAAAGATGATTTCTGATTGTACTGAGATGTTTCTTTTTCCCAACAGGGAAAGCAAGACAGTAAAGCAGTGGCTCCGCGATTCCCCAAAGTTAAAGATGAAGGCTGGTTTTTGATATTGGGAGAAGTCGATAAAAAAGAACTCATCGCCCTGAAAAGAACTGGATATGTCAGAAATCGAAATACTGTTTCTGTTGCTTTTTATACTCCAGAAACTCCTGGAAAGTATGACAAATTTACATATTAAGTTCTTGTAATGATTATCTTTTCCAGGTAGCCAAGACCTAATTTCCAAACTAATGATTCTGCTTTTTACATTTTAGGTGTATCTACACATTGTATCTCATGAGTGACAGTTACCTTGGCATGGACCAACAGTACGATATTTACCTGAACATCATACCAGCCAGCACTTCAGCACAAGTCACAACAGAGGTGTCTGATGCTGTGAGTCACCCCGCTCTGAAGTAAGGGGATCTGAAAAGTCCATTCCAAAGAACTGGTCTTGCAGCTAAGACATCTGGTCATTCTGGACATCCGAAAATGTGTTTGCCTTAGTGGAACCAACTTCAAACCTCAAGACAGCTAGGAAATTGAAAGTGACTACTGTATTGACTCTGGTAACCCAGGGTTAGCCACAGTGGCCTTACTCCTTTATGAAGATTTGTCTTTTCTTATTTCATCTTTGTTCTTTCAGAAGTCATGTTGTTAACTGAATTTTGACACATCAAAATAAAAGACTAAATGATGACATAATTTGTGCAAATTTAGGGCTATAGTCTTAATTTTGAAAAGTGTTCTGTAGCCTCTGTATTAATGTAGTTTAAATAGTTGACTTTTTTAATTTATAGGGAAAAATACAAAATTTGATCTAAGACCTGCTGAAGATATTGATGGATATGTTATATTTCATGTTTAATAAAAATATATCCATAAGAACGTTTTGCATTAGATTTTTTCAGTGTAAAATACGAGCTATACACTAACAAAATCCTCCTCTTACGTGTCCTACATTTTGAAGGAGATAATCGTACGGGAAAATTTCACAAATTTATATTAACTATACATGCAGTAAATGTGGTTATAAAGGCATGCTAAATAGTATAAAATATGTCCACTATAACAATCATGAAATTTACATAGATCATAAAGTTTACCCTTTACATGTATGTACATACATATACACTCACCATACTTATGTATTACATATTTACAATTTCCTCAGTGGTTTTTTTCCTGAATTTTGGAGGACTAAGGCATATCAAACCAGGTGTCCTGTTCTAGGGTTCAGTGCTAAAGTGGGCAACTACTTTCTGTAAGTAAAGTAGAGTGAGGCTCCAAACACAGCGTTTACAGCAGACAGCCTGATGAGCAAGGAAGAGTTCTGCCAGACGGTAGGTAGTGTCTGAGATGCCCAGCTCGGTGACAGTGCCATGGAGGCAGGTCCACCTGCCAGACATAAATCTGAAGGGGGAAGGTAGCAGCATCTATCTTCTGCACGATGCCGTGATGAGACTGCTTACCTGGATCTGCACATCCTGAGGTCAGTCCTCGGCCTTAAGGGGATTCAAGATGCTGAGAGCAAGTACTTGGAGGCAACACACTGCAAAAACAACATGTATCTTCATTCAGATAGACTAGACCTTAAACCGAAAATTAATATTTGAAGTCATTCAGCTTTGCATTTAGCTGGTAAGTGTTACCTCTCTGAGGGATCATTTTGCTATCATTTCCATTGTGTTTCACCAGACGAAAGAATACAGCAGAGTTGTTGCCTGGAAGCTCCCCAGAAAAAAATGACCCTGGTGGTGCTGCACCCACATGGAATCACAGAGTGGTTGAGGTTGGCAGGGAGCTCTGGAGGTCATCTGGTCCAACCGCCCTCCTCAAGCAGAGCTACCTAGAGCTGGTTGCTCAGGACCGTGTCCAGACAGCCTTTCAGTATCTCCAAGGATGGTGACTCCACACCCACCCTGGGCAGCCTGTGCCAGGGCTGGATCTCCCTCACAGTAAAAATGTTCAGAGGGAACTGCCTGTGTTTCAGTGTGTCCCCATCGCCTCTGGTTCTGTCACCAGGCACCACTGACAAAGGCCTGGCCCTGTCCTTGTTAACATCTTCCATTCAGATATTTACACACATTGATGAGCCCCCCGAGCCTTCTCTGCCCCAGGCTGAACAGTCTCAGCTCGCTCAGCCTTTCCCGTGTGAGAGATGCTCCAGCCCCATTGTCCTCTTTGTGGCCCTTTGCTGGACCCTCTCCCATATGCCCATGTCTCTCTTGTACTGGCCAGTGCTGACCGCCTCCCTCAGCCTGCTGGCAACGCTGCATTGCAGCAAAGCGAAGGCTGGCTGATTTCAAAGGGTCAGCAGTTAAACATTAAGTTTTTTCATATACATCTGGCACCTCTAAATTGTGAGAAAAGTCTTTTAAATAGTCAGTTCTGTAGTTCAGTGTTTTCAGAGATCGTCACATGACCTGATAATGTTAAAAATTTTATATTTCATTGTTGTAGGTTGGCTTTATTGCCTAAGAAAATGGGACAGTAATAGAAAAAGTTGTCACTATATTTACATCAGTTACTATATTGATTATCTAATACAACTGCCACCTTTGCTATTTAGACTATATCAATATAATTTATGGTGGCGTGTTACACGGCAAACATTTTTTTCAAATTCGTAGGCAAAATTTGGGTTATACACACATTTATTCAGTCCTACGCCCATTTTTAAGAGAATTGTTTTCTTTAATCTGCAAGGAAATTTTCACAGAAATTAAGTCCTTTCTTTGGGCAAATTCTTGGCTGAAGCGATATATTGTCCCTCAACAATTTTAATTCATTAGGAAAAGAGCTGTGCCACAGTCAAACAACATACCAACATAGTGACGCCAGCTCTTGTTGCTTTGTAAATTCACATCACAAAATAATCTAACTGCAGAGTAGCAGACAATAGCTTCAGTATTCTGTATTAATCAGTTAAAGAGTTCCTGTAAAGTCATTTGTACCATTTGTATTTTGGTTTGGAAATACTGTATTTAATTTCCTAGCATGTTAATAGTTTTTAGAAATGGTTTGGTGAAATTTCTAAATAACATTTTTTTACAAAAGTATTGGATTCATGAAGACAAAGTCTGAAGTAATATATAATGAATTTAAGCAAATTTATTAGAATCCAAGAGAAGGAATTCTGATGCGTTTGAAACAGCTGCTTAGAAGGAACAATCAATATGTTCAATCCAGTGATATCCGATGGTGGAAAGTGAGAATAGCTCTCTAACAAAGGTATGAAAATCAAACACAGAATAAAGAAAAGAATAGAGATAAATACTTTGGTGATGTAATGATCACCATTATGGATAAAGGAGCAAATTAGCAGCACATACAGAAATTTTTAATGTTTTCTCATCTGAGTTTGCAAGCATATTAGCATATTTTCATTTCTTACACACACATACCCCCCGCCCCTGCTTCTGGGAGCAGCTGTAGGTAGTGCCTGCCTGCTCAGGTATGACACTTCTTCCAAAACCTGTAAAGAGCAACAAAAACCCACGCACCTCTTCTGTGTCAAGATGTGTTTAAGTCTGCCTGTGTGACTGCCCTTTCCATCTTACCCTGTCCTAATCTGCTAATGGCATCACAGCAGCACTTAGCAGGAGCTCGAGGAGGTTTGGGTATGTACAGCCACCCCCCGTCTCCTCTGAAGGAGCCCTTACAATGCAATCCGTTGTTCAGAACCTCACTTAAGGTTTCGGTTCTAGTCTAAGTACTGAATGTATCGCAGTGGCACCATGAAGCCATCTTCGCCACTGCAGGTCTTTCTCTTATGTTGTAAATTCAATCTTTGGAGGCCCTAATTTCACCCAGGTGAATTCAGGGGTTTATGCTGCTGACCTCAGATTCCTCTTTCTCGTCATTCATTTGCTTCTGGGGACCATCTCTAGATGGTCATCCTGAAGGAAACTCCAGGAATCTCTCATCAACCTCCATCCTGGAGCCAGCATAAGGCTATTCACTGAATAGGTGCATTCAAAGAAAGGGAAGTTCCGTTGTTCAAATGTTCTAGTTTGGGGGGGTCCTTAATAAAGAGCACAGCCGGTTCTTAAATCATTACTCTCTTGTCTTGCTTCCACCCCTACCATTTCAAGTAGACTTCCCTTTAGCTCCTTCCACTACCTACAATCGCGCCCATTCAGAGGCTGTTCTCCTTATTAGTGGCAGTGAATTAGCACAGTTTGTTAAGCTCGTTTCTCTGTGATGTGGTATGGACACTATTCTAGCCTATGCCGTACGTACTGAAGCAGGACCAAGTAAGGTAACAGAAGCAAACCGCATATACTTTTTCCACATCCTAAATGTCTCCATAAAAATGTCTGAACTAATGCTGAAAGTACAAAAAAAATCTGTACTACTGCATACACCAGCTTATTAGCTAATCAAGCCCGTGCTGTTTTGTAAGCCAGAAGAATGGTAAGAGTTCAAAGTTCTCTCTTCCAAGCTATTTTATGAGAAGGGGGAATTCTCCTGCTTCATGAGAAGAAAGGTTTGGATGCCATAGGATGCCCAGCTAGGCATGTGAGCTACAAAAAGGTGAGCAGGGCTGCTGCTGAGAATGGTCACTCCGTTTCCACTTACACACTGTGCCTGTTCTATCATCAGCTATGTCTGATTCCCACCTGGCTTTTTAAAAACATACCTTGTTAAATGACTCGTCTTCTCAGAGCACACTGCACTTCAGCGGGCTCTGCCAAGACTTACATCCGCAGAAATTTTGACTCCTGTTTTTTCTGAAGTGATTAGCAAAAGCTCGGGAATGATCTAACCGAGCTTGTTATTAATGCCACACACCGGTAGCAGTAAGAGGTTAAGCTGCTTTCATGAAGTGTGTGAAGGGAACTTCCATATTAAAGGAAATTTTCTGGTAGGCGATTGTACCGCTTGTACTAAATGAGTCTCTGTGTAAATAGTTCCTACAGAGGGTTCAATCTAGGCAGTAGAAACAAGCTCTATAGAAAAGGATTCTCCACAGCGATTACACCATCCTGCAATTAAATATGTTTAAAATATGTCTTGTACTCAGATCTTCTAATGAGCTCCATATTGCACCAATGTGATTTGAATCCAGGACTCTCCAAGTCCATAAGTCTTTCTCCAAGTCCGTAAGTCTTTCTTCTGCATCTATTCCTAGAAAATCACAACCACCTTCTCCGCTCAAATCTCTCCTCAGAAATAAAGCACGTAAAAGCTTCACTAAGCCTATGCATTAGGCTTCACTGCTGCTTTTTTCCCCCAGCTTAGTCTTGTCCTACCAAGCCTCTCAATAAAAACTTGTGCCCAGAATAGAAGGTTTGTATCTCTCCTTGCAGAAGATCTGTACACAGCAGAGTTGGTGACATCTCATTGCACAATGACAAAGATCACAGAGGTGAGAGGACAATCTCATTGAA